CTGGAGTTTACGCTCAAACTATGAGTCTTTACGAACAGGTAGCTCAGAACAGGAAAACACAGGTGTGTACAGGAGCGTCTGAAGTGAATTGTGACACACACACACACACACACACACAGCTGGTGGTGGCGTTATGAGCTGATATTTGTGGCCGGTGGGACAAACACCAGCATGTTTTCCTCTATTCCTCATAATCAGTCAGCAGATGCAGGTTTTTCTCTTCATAACGTCACGCTGATGATGACTCCTGCCTCACGGGCTCAGATTCATCAGCTCAGGCCAGGGCGAGAGAGTGTGTGTGTGTGTGTGTGTGTGTGTGTGTGTGTGTGTGTGTGTGTGTGTGTGTGTGTGTGTGTGTGTGTGCAGAAAACCAGCGCAATAAAGCCGTGGCTCTCGGCAAATAAGACGAAGAGGAGCACGCGTGACAGACGGAGCACGCTCTACAGTCACCACAATGCTCATGCTGTGTGTATGTGTATGTGTATGTGTGTGTGTGTGTGTGTGTGTGTGTGTGTGTGTGTGTGTGTGTGTGTGTGTGTGTGTGTGTGTGTGTGTGTGTGTGTGTGTGTGTGTGTATGTGTGTGTGTGTGTGTGTGTGGGTGTGTGGGTGTATGTGTGTGTGTGTGTGTGTGTGTGTGTGTGTGTGTGTGTGTGTGTGTGTGTGTGTGTGTATGTGTGTGGGTGTATGTGTGTGGGTGTGTGGGTGTGTGTATGTGTGTGTGTGTGTGTGTGTGTGTGTGTGTGTGCGTGCATTGATGTCCTGTGATTAATGCTGGTGTGTGTGTGTGTGTGTCGTACCTGCAGCCGTGCGTTCAGCAGCATAAACTCCTGCTGCTTCTGGAAGTTCTGCTCCATGCCTTTGGACAGCACGAAACCCATCCTGAAGGACAGACAGAATCAGAATCAGCACAATCATCAAAATCATGGCAAGCACCATAATCACACAATCATGACCACCACAGAACCACCACAATCACAATCACAGAATCACCACAATCATAAAATCACCACAATCACAGAATCACAAATATTGAATAACCACAATCATGACAACCACACAACCATCACAGAATCACCACAATCAAATAATCACCACAATCACATTATCATCACAATTATGACCACCAAAAAATCATCCTGTTCACAGAATCATCAAAGTCATGACAACCACACAATCATCACAATCACAGAATCACCACAATCATGACCATCACAGAATTAACACAATCACAGAATCAGCAAAATCATGACAACCACACAATCACAGAATCAGCAAAATCATAGAATCATCACAACCACACAATCATCACAATCACAGAATCAGCAAAATCATAGAATCATCACAACCACACAATCATCACAATCACAGAATTACCACAATCATGACCATCACAGAATTAACACAATCACAGAATCAGCAAAATCATGACAACCACACAATCACAGAATCAGCACAATCATGACCATCACAGAATTAACACAATCACAGAATCAGCAAAATCATGACAACCACACAATCACAGAATCAGCACAATCATGACCATCACAGAATTAACACAATCACAGAATCAGCAAAATCATAGAATCATCACAACCACACAATCATCACAATCATCAAAATCTTGACAACCATAATGAACACAATCATAGAATCAGCACAATAATTAAAATCATCACAATCAGAGATTGATCTCAATCATAGAATTAAAACAATCATCATAATAACAGAATTAGTACAATCACCACAACCACAGAACACAGATTCATTATAATCACAGAATCAGTACAATCATTGAAATCATCACCATCAGAGAAAACAACCCTAAACCCTAATCACATAAAACAGAATCATATGAACAATTTAATCACAACAAAATCACAAATGCTGCGTCCCAATCCACATACCACCATCCTAAACAGCATTGGAAAATAGAATTATCATGTCCCAAACCACAGTGTGTTGTAAAGAGAATGGTAAAAACCATACTTTCTGGAAAAAACTCAGTGTAGAAGCGTCCATACTCTAACCGCTGATATTACCCACAGTGCATTGCACGTTGGACATGAATTCGATAAGAACTACAATCTCAGGTAAAAAATGTAAATAAACTACAAACATGGTGGATACGTGAGACCAACTGTCAAGTAGAGAGAGGCTTCAGTAAAGATGTTATTCTGACTGTTCATGAATATCGAGTCCAGTGGAGCACGATTAAATCATGTGTTCTGGGTTACACTTCACCTGCAACAACAACACCGAACTCAGATAAAGATGTGTTTGGACATCTAAATGCAGAGTTACACAAACACCTGAGGAGATCTCTCTGTGCCAAAGACTCGTGAATGGCAGATTATACTGCTGCTGCTTCTCCAATAAGCTAGAAAATAAATATAACGGTGACGTGGGTGAGGTGTGGAGATGATGGACAGGGAATGGAACTAAGCAACACAATGATCTGTTAATGAGGCAGTAGTGTGTGTGTGTGTGTGTGTGTGTGTGTGCCAAAGCTTGCACACTCTTCTTCTGTTACACACTCAACAGTGTGTAGATTTCCTTCACAAAATAAAGAAAAAAAAAAAAAAGAGTACATACTTTTAGGGTGTAGTATATGTATATGAATTGGGACACAGCAACAGAATCATCAGCATCACAGAATCATCTGCATTTCTAAATAATCACAATCACAAAAAAAACTGAAATATCAGAAAGAAAATCATCAGCATCATCAGAATTTCAGAATCATCACATTCACAGACACTCAGAATAAAAAATAATCTAAAATCCATACTGAGAAACTTGAATTTCACAGCAATTTCATCAAATACTTCATCTAATAAACACCAGAAGAAATAATGTCATATTAATACCACTCTGATGAAAACCATGTAGAATCATAAACATACACAAGCGGCAAGTTCATTATAAACAAATATAATCATTTAAAATGAGCAGAATCAATGAACCAAACGTCTTCCTGCCAGTGTGCCAATAATATCATGCAATCCACAAAAGGTATCCGCAAACTGCTTATGATCATTTTAAAAAAATAGCTTAATTACAAGTACCTGATTTTCATAATCTATTTAGCTAATCCGGATGACATTTCATCAATTATATCTAAATAATTTGACACCATTGCTGCTTGCAGCTATTAATAATCTGCTCAAATGAATGATGATGGTTTGAGTTTATGAAATGACTGCAGACTTGTTTCTGTCACAGAATTTTAAAAAAAGCTAATTATAATGCTTTGATTATTGAGTGGCTGGAATAAGCTCCTGTAATGAAGCACAGTAGGACTGATTCGAAAACTACTTTTAAAATATAAAGATAATATTAGTCAGAGTGTAATGCTGGATGTATGGTGTACTCGCAACATTATTTTAATGTACTTTCTGATTTAACACATAACAAATTTTACAATATTATTCAACAAATTATTCATATACATTTCTGCTGCTGAGGTAATATATCCAAATGCTTATATATATGTATGTATGTATACTATTTAAACAAACATTTGGATATAATACCTCAGCAGCAGAAATGTATATGAATGTTCACTTTTTTAAATTGTGCTTTTCAGATATATGAACTGCGCTTCAGTCTCGCCCCTTCAACACTCAAACAGAAACATGTAAACATAAACATCAGTCAATAACCGCGACATTAATAACCCAGAAATCAAAACAAAGTGAAGCGCGAGACTGAAGTTCAGCAGAACCGCGTGTGTGTGTGTGTGTGTGTGTGTGTGCGTGTGTGTGTGGATGAAGGAAACCCCGCGAGCTCTGTCAGTAAACGCTAAACTAGTTCCCGCGCACCCGCTTTACAGCAAACACAGTAAACAGCTTAAATGACGGCTGAATGTCAATCATACCTTTATAAATATGATTCTGTAGTTTAATAAAGCCCAAGGACACACACTCATACACAGACACACACACACACACACGAGCTCCACGACGCACTGACGGCGCTGACGTCACTGACGCCGCTCGGCGCTGATTGGCTATTATGTGCGCAGACGTCATTAAACCAGGTCTTGCTAAAAGTTCTGATAAACAGCTAGTTAGCTAAACGGGTTAGTTACTCCGTCGAGGATTATATTTTATTCCCAGAGATCCTTTCAGCCGTTTCCATATCACAACAGCTGTTCATTATAAACTGGAGCAGAAGGTTATATTTTAACTCCGTGCACATGTTTATATACATGTTTATATCTGATTTCATACATTTATAAAAAAAAAAAAAAGACTCTAGAATATTTTACTAATTAACATTCATTTAAAATGTATGTTTTATCAATTCAGTGATCATACATTTATAATAAATTTAAATATTTTATAGTTTTGTTTGTTTTAATGTATCTTATTTATCTTTTTTGTTTGTTTTTTTTTTTAGCAAAAATGTCCAGTTTTCTTTAGTTTAAGAAAAGCTTTGGATAAAAGCATAACTCTACACGACTAAACACATTAAGCGATGAGCTGAATGTAGTTTATATATCCTGATTGTATATATAAAACGGATTGGTCCGTTTTGATCAGCGCTGAGTAAAATAACAGCGATCAACTGAGAGTTGGCGGTCTTTATCATGAGCGGGAAAAATTAAACCGAGACTGTAACGGTCAGTGAGTTATGATGAGGTGGAGGGAAACATCATGAAACACCGTGTCGAATGAAGATATCTACTCATTTCTGACAGGTTAGTAAGATTTATCAACTTATTTATGGTCATTACCTTTCTTTAAGGATCGTTAATGTCTTTAAACAGTATACCATCGAGTTATTTTCGCACTGTGCTAGCGTGAGTTTGTGTTGTCCATCTTTTCTGTGCGGCTAACCCATATATTCCACTCATATTTACCCTCATGGCTGATTCAAACACTTTTAAGCTGATGTATTTCCAGCATGGGGCACTTCAGAGCTCAAATCTGTCACTATAGCGCCACCTGTTGACCACATAGTGTAGTATTTTCCTCATCAGACCACAGTAGACTGACTGAAACGCACTGCATGTGTTTATTAGCTGTTTTTTCTTCAATATTAGAAACAGTGCATCATAAGGAGAAAATAATAACAATATCAAATTGAAACCATGAAAAAAGACGAGACAAACAGAAAACAGCTGAAAAGAAACACAATCCCTTATTTGCAGCGGTATAAACTTCGCGTAGATATATTCATATGTACATATTAATTCATAATTACATGGGAGAGGAAACTAAATGTACAATGCTACAAAAAGTATTTACAAATCAATAAATACACATACACGCTCACGAACCAAACCAAAGGCAGAAGTACAAAGGACGATTCATATTGTACAAAAATTACAAAAAAGAACATACAAAATCAGCGTGTGTGTGTGTTATAGTAAAGTATATTTTTGTAAATATGTTTAGACAGTGAAAAAGACAAATGGCACCAACAGCGGTGGTGTTCAGATCTGATCTCGGTTTCCTGAACAGGCAGTGCTGACCTCACTGGACGACTGAGATCTTTGGCCCTTTGGGTGTCGTTGTCAAAAAACACAAGACATGAACACGCAAAACACAGACATTAAACGTGTAGCAAGCACATGCACACACACTCACACTCACCGAGACACTCACACAGATTCAGTCTTAATGATCTACAGACTGGCGTTACACTTCACATCCACTTCTCTTTTCCCACATTTGATGAGAAACTCTGTGTTTCCCAGTGCAGGAATACTGTGCCAGAGTCTCTGGAGCACTGATACAGAGCGACAACACACAGCAAATCTCCCAACACTACAGTCAGAATATCGGGTCAAACACAGTGCATTACAGAAGGGGCTTTCACACATCAATGTGCGCACACAGTCAGGTGTATCTGTCTGCGGACTGCAGGACGGGGCGTAACATGAAGGGATGTAACTTGCAGTAAGTTAGAGAGGCTTAACTTGCAGTTTTCGAGATCCCATTGAACGATGAGAGATGGAAATACTCGCGAGATGAGAGATGAAAATAAGTGTAGATGTAAATAACTGAGATGGTTGGGTTTAGGGGTTAGGAAGGTGTAGACATTAACAAAGACGATGGTTGGGTTTAGGTTTGGGGAAGGTGTAGACATTAATGATGATGATGGTCGTTTTTAGGGTTGGGGTAGACGTTAATAACTGTGATGGTTGGGTTAATAGTTGGGGAAGGTGTAGACATTATTAATAACTGTGATGGTTGGGTTTAGGTGTAGAGTAGGTGTAGAAGTAAATAACTAATGTACAGCGCCATCTTGCCGACAACATAGTTATGACATGTGGGTTTTCATAACTTCATGTTACGCCTCTAACGTACTACAAGTTACGCCCCTTCATGTTGCACTCGTCTTGCAGTCAGCAGACAGACCCTACTCCACACAGCAGCTGAAGTTCTTTTTCCAGCCAGTCAGGCGAATGCGAAGATACTGAAGCTTCATGAGAACGAGTTGCAGCTCTCTATCGCCGGGTTTCCATAGTGACCTGAAGCAGATCTTTTCGCCAAAAAGTATAAATGTGAGTCAGGAGCGTTTCCATCATTAGCGGTGATTCCATCCACCTATTTGTATGCACATTTCTGGAATATCGCGTTAAACAAAATGCTGAATGGAAACGTCACGATGCGCTTAACATGAGTAGGATGAACGTTTTGTCCAGTGTGCATAAACACAATTAGTGAATAACCTGCCTGCGCTTCATCAGTGTCTGTGTTCAGTGCTGTAGTTTCTGCCAGATGCTGATCAGATATAATAGTGTGTTTGAGGGACTTTGCATCATTACTGTTGGTTTGCAGCTTTAAATGTTGTTGTGCTGATTGTAAAAGGCCTCAGCCCTCCGTCATCACAGTGCTTCAGTATTCTTCTTCTTCTTCTATTATTCCCTCCAGAACTGTCTTGAGCATCTGTCTGCACTCCCGTCTCACGTCTCCAAAAGCCACCGCATTCACCGTGTTCACTGCGTTTGGTGTTGGTGTTGTGAGGCGCAGCTCAATTATTAGAGGAGAACAAACAGCACAGTGGAGAATCCCCACAGTGCAGCAGACTCCACTTCCCTCAGTGATATCTGATAACAGTGTCTAATGCTTAATACCATATTACAGTTTTACGCATCTTTGGATGGAAACACAGCTATTGTTAGAGCGGCTCACTGTAGTATTGGTAACCTAGCAACCAAAAGCAAACAAGGCAAGCAAGATGGAGTCATGAGGGTGTAGCGTTCATCAAGTGCTCAAGTGAGCATAAAAACTTTAGCGATTTTTTTTTTTTAGTTCACTCGTTTCTCTTGTGATACTTAATTAACACAGGCTGATGGAAACCCAGCTGACGAGAGCGTCGGCAAAATGGAGACATTCATTTCCCCTTTATAATAAAAACACTCATCATGTCAGACACGTGTTCATCATGTTCACTATGCAAATTTACAAACAAACCTCCTTTATAGAGGCCAAAAAGTGACTTTGTTGTCAAACGACGATTTTCACAGTCATGTGAGAAAGTAAAGCTTGAGACAGAAGTGGCCTGAGCACCGGCGTGAAGCATGGAGACCAGTGGCGGCTGGTGCTAAAAAAATGTGGGGGGGCGCAAACACCAGAACTGACCTAACGGTTGGTAATGCAACAGTGTAAAAGCCATTTATCAGGTGATGTATGAAAAAACAAAAATATGACTAAAGCATACAACAAATGCTTCATAAATCAGAAAATTTTAGTTCAATTTAGGTTTATTATCAGTAATGAAGTAATCAATAAACACACGCACAGACACACATAGATGTTGCCTAATCACTGGCCAGTAGCACTACTTGAAAATAAATTTTGCTCTCCTTTCTTTCTGGCTTGCAAATTTCTCAATGACCTTTTGGTTAAAGTCAGTCATCTCAGTCACTAGTCTCTTCTCTATTGACAGCATGGCCAATGCATTCAGCCTCTCTTGGGTCATGCTGTTTCTCAGAAAAGTTTTTATTCTTTTCAAAGTTGAGAAGCACCTCTCAGCTTCTGCTGTGGTCATAGGCGTAGTTACCAGAATCTTTAGGAGAGTTACAGTCTCTGAAAAGACTCAGCAGGCTCCTTGGAGTAGATGAGACTGAGCTCTGTCTTTAGCTTACTTCCATCGAGCACAGGATAGGCTTTCAGAGTCCTGCTAAGTGCATCTTCTGGAAAAGCTACTGTATACTGCTCAAACCTGTCTGCCTGCAGCAATGTGGCACTAACGAGGTGGTCTGTGAAGGAGAACCGCTCCAGTGTGTGTGTGAGTATGGTATCACAGACCTAAAGGATAAAGACAAAAATGATGTAATTATGTGTCAATTTCAACTGCTACATTAAAATAACCAGGTTGAGTTATAAAGGCAGACCAGTTGTAGTGGTTAAATTCATACTTTCTCAAAACCTCATAAACACATTCATTCTTAGTAAACATGTCAAGCTCCACTAGGAGAAGCTGAAGAATAACAAATCATTTTAGATAATAGTTTAAAGAGTATATACGTTTAAGAAGATCACCTAGTCATAAAAATGCATTTACATTTATCATAGTTTTATACAGACCACTATTCCCAGCTTATAAATCAACAACACTTAGATTCAAAATTCTTATCAACTATTTTTATATAATGCTTCTATAATGAGACACTTAAAGACTCCTATTTGAAAAAGACCTGGTCATTGTATCATATAAACAAGCCAGTGTGCTTGCAACAAATTAAACTGTATTGTTTCATTTACTATCTCTGGGTAAATGTTTTGGTGACTACAATATTATTACTCCTCAAATTATTATTGAGCAGTTCCAGCATTATGGATGTGGCATTTGCAGTAAAAACTCAAAACATAAATTCACAGAGAAAGTATGTTAACATTATATTGAAATATCTGTTTATATTTTCCAAAACTACTGACCACGTAGCTATAAGATCAGCTTAATATCAATCTGTAAACATGTTTTGTACTTTAAATGAGGAAAATAAACAAAGGAGTTATGGATGTAACTAAAAAAAGTCTGTGAGTTTGCAGTATACAACAGGCCTAGTAGAAATTCTGTCTGTTAAACTGCAAAACCCCCCAAAATAATGCTAAGCAGGAGGTTAAGAGTTTTTTTTCTTCTATAAAACAAACATGATTGATTTTATTTGATAATTTTTCATTTATGAGGAAAAAGCTTAGTTATGGATTTGACACCTCTGTATTATGGGTGTGACGGATGTGAAATTGCCTTTCATGTGACTTGGGTAAATAAATAAAAAATTTTTTAAAACATTGACAGAGACATTTGAGTATGTCTAAAGTACTGTAAAATACTTGCTTACACACACACACAAAAAACACAGAAACAGTTTCGGTATTTTGTTGAGAACTTAATTTTTTTCATGAAAAGGTTAACATTTGCAGGGAATTGCTCTATTATTATTTTTATCTTAAAATCAATGAAAAGGATATTTACAAGTTCCCATAGAAGGTAACTAAACAATACAGTTTAGC